ACAGAATTGCTCCACTACAGGCCTGTTTTCTGCCAAGCCCAGCATCATGGCCTGGATGGTATGCAAATGCATGTGTCAGGCAGGGAGCAGAAGATACAGTCAGGCTTTTGGGTAGAACCACCACCTCTCTGCAAGCTCTGCTTTGTGCCAGGCTGGCATTCCTCCTGCAAGCAGTGATACCTGTCCTTAGCGCAGCACCCCATCCCCGTCCCCTGGTCTCTCGCTAGATCTGCATCTCCAGGCCCACCTTTGACTCAAAACCTGATGTGGGCTGGTTCCATTCCTACAGTTGACAGGCTTTTCTTTGGCTACATGTGCTTGTAATTCATGGCAGTACTAAAATAAGTCAACAGCAGCGGAAAAGAAGTCCAAGTCGCTCACTATTAATATTTATCTTAATTCAAATAAATGCTCAAGTAGAACGCAATTTTGTCTTTCAAATCTATTCTATTATCTGCAGCATCTGACACCTCACAATCAGACTACCAAGAAGCATCTACCACAAAATGGGCTGAGCTCTTAGAGCCACTCCAACGTTCTGAACCCTCCTTCTGCCTTTATACGGGTTTCCCTGCAGATGGACTGAATCTCAAAGTCCTGGGCTACCAATAACAGAAGAACACACAGAACCTTTTTTATCTTTCTTGTATCCTCTTGCATCTCACAATTAGTTTTCAACAAAGATAACCAGAAGTAAAGGAAAATTCTGCAGGAGAAGACTGGCAGCATGAATGCCTCTGCAGACACTACCCAAGATGTAAGTTTTTCACTCCTGCTGTCAGCTGATCTTGTACAAGTCAGAAACGTGAGGAGACATTTTAATTTTGTTATCTGGCTCATTGGGAAGCACCTTCACCTCTGAAATCAGGAAGCAGCTTGATATTTACAATGAAAGGAGGCTTGGTCACTTGCCCAGTGATAGCACTGTGCTGCTGAATGATGAGAAAGCAATTACTTGTTCTTGGAAAAAGAGCTGATGAACGCATTTCAAAGAACAATATTCTCATGTCCGTTTCTTCTCTCATAACAGATTCTTGTTTAAAATGCCGATCACGTTGGACAACACAGAGATTTAAAATAACTGCTCCCACCAAATTGGAAAAGACAAAATCTTAAGTGTGAAGATTTAAAAATTCATCTACATACATATTCAAATATACGTATGCATCTATAAATAGAAATCTACATATACATACAGATGCTGATGGAAAATATAGTAAGAAATACTAGTATAAACACCTGAAAGAAAAGGTCACGGAGTGGTCTCCTGCAAAACTGTATCAGTCAGCTTTATCCCGGTTAGAAAGGGAAAGTTCATCTCCTGTGAGCTATAAGATAGCATTTAGGTTTCCATGCTAACAGCTCCTCCAACAGTGGAACAATTGCTTTTCTAAGATCAAAAGGAAAGCTGAATTTACTGCATAAAGTGTAGTAAATGTATGTACCAGAGATTTAAGAATAAAACATAAGATTGCCTCCTAGAAAAAACCCGAGCCAACCACTTCCCAGAAGGAGTGGGCTTTGCATGTCCCTTCGTATTTAATTTTCAACAACTCTGCTAATGAGAACATCCTGCTAATTCACAGTGGCAGTGCTGCTAACAGTGTATGAACTATATCTTCCTCTCCAGTTGCTACACAAACTGTCTAGGGCCAACTCAGGAAAGTTCTCTTCTATACATATCATAATCATCCATGTTCACATAGTTCATTTGCAATGCAGAAACCATATGACCAAAGCAGCGCTTCCCCCCAAATACGTATTACGGAACACACCAAAACTTTGTTATCAGCTTTGTTATTGCCTCACTCATGCCCTTTGTTTATTTACATTTCAATAAAATGAATGACTGTCTGAACTTGATTAGTGAAAATGACTAGTGCACACACAAATTTTAGCAGCTTATTGATCATTCCCCATTATGAATCAGAAATCTAAGTTCTCAAACAACTTTGGGCTAACCTCATACCAGGCTACTTTTACTAATTCTTGATCTTTCAAATGGGAGGATGATCCCTCCCTTTCTGGCTCTTTTGTCTATTAACATTATATAATGGGAGAGAGGCATAGATTGTCTACAGCTATTTCTAAATTTCTTATCACTGTGGACTCCCAGTCTTGCTTAAAGGCCATCAGTGTGATCATAAAACAAATACAAAATAGTTCAACTGTCAGTAATATTGCTAGTTTAGCCAACATAACGTATATCTGATGGTATATCTGCACACATACAGAGAGCCAAAATGCAGCTGTGTTTTCCTCTATGAACCTACAACTGCAGTACACAGTCTTCTTACTAAATAAGACAACTCAAAATGGTAGATACAGATCTGGATGTCTTAGAGCCCACAGCTATCTTGATCTCTCCAGCCATCTTGGTAAAAAAACCCACCAAAACAAACAGAAAATGACCGGTAGGCTAACACAGATACGCTAACAGATTTCTATGATTTTTTTTTTTTTTTTAAACTAATTTTCAGTGTTAAATAAACTGTGGAAAAAGGATTTGATTCATGGTTGCATTAGCAACCTACTCAACCAAAGCCTCTTGTAAAAAATTAAGTCATAAACCAAAAGTCAAACATGATTTGTGAAATTAACATTTATCGAGGAAATACTCCCCAGCACTGCATCGTTAATAGTCTCTGGCATCTGAAATATCACCCATAATTCACAAGATTCTCTGAAACCATGCCACTACTGCTACTGCTGAGATGGCAGGCATGATGGAAAGGTACTGTCACAACCAGAGAGCAATCCTTCTTTTGATGCTTGTCAGAACTAGAGGTCACTGTGTCTTATTATTTGGGGAAGTACATGCATACATGTACTCAGCTCTCTCACACTTAAAACACTTTGCCCCTGCACAAGCACTGTTCCACCTCTTCAATTTAACCAAGACCATGGATCTTTCTAATTTTGAACACAGAGGTTTGGCAGAAGCTCTGCGTTGTGCCCTTTCTTTAAAATAGTGACTGATGAAAAAGGAAGCATAATTAACAGTCATTGGCTCTCTCACCGAGTCACTGTCTTTCAGCAGAGGGAGATGCAGACAGCTCAATCTTACAGGCAGAGGAGCTACATCACAAGCAAGACTCAGTGATTGCTATAAAGCTATACAGTCACCGACTGAGTCCACTTTGGAGCCAAATATTATTTAGAAGCCAGGATATCCAGATATAGCTTGAAGTTCCTGGATGCTTCCCTTTTCAAGGTGTTTTTCAGCAGAATTCTCCTGTCAAGGAATGCAGTAATTATCTCGAATTATTTATTTATTTTAAAAATCTTGGTGTAAGAGCATCCTCACTGCTCTGAGCACTTGATATTCTTCACCTGGAGCCAAAGAGCCCCCAGGTCTTTCAGGGTAAAGAAGGACAGACAGCCCACATAATCTCATCTGCTGGCTTTACAGGTCTTCAGAACAAGAAGAAAGCTTAAGAACCTCTATAACACATCCCCTCACCCCAACTGATGATCATGGCCTTTTGTCATTTATTCATACATTATCTCCACCATCTAGGTATACTACACCTACCTCAATCACATCAGCTGTATGCTGTGTTTATGCAAGTGTGCACGAGTTCATGTGTGTGTATACCTAAGATCACTCAACATACAAAAAAACAAGGATCACAAAGAAGAATATACCCTTCCTCTTCACCAAAAGAAAGCGTGGGACCTCATCCTACCCCCCTTTAAGGCACAATCCAGTGGAATGTACGCTTACAAATAGTGCCTCTCTTTTCAGGATTAAAAGATAACTTTCTGGCTGTAAAGCGTCATTTCCCTCTGATACCTTTCTCCTGCACACAGAGAAAGCTGCATTAGATCTGGGCCTCTGTCCTCAGCTGGGGCAAACTGTGCTTAATGGACCTGTGACCATTTATGCCACTGAGGATAGAGCATTCAGCATGCAGCTCAGAGAACATCTGAGCTAGCCTCTACCCAGTGCCTGCACAAGCTCACTCTGGTAACCACAACTCACCGTGGGTGGCAGGCTCTGCTCCAGAAGACGACAGGGAATCCAAAAGAAATTACTGCCTGCTCCACTAAGCTAACCCTTAGGTGAAGAGGCCTCACTTCTTGGAGGAGGAGTTCATTGCTCCAATAACATGACTGTTTCAACAGTCCATGAGGGACTGTCACCTCCATTCAACACACTTTCTTTGGGTAAACAGTCATTCACTTCTTGTATTGTAACATCACGGAGAGGTCACTAACAGATGGTGGCTTTAAAAAATAGTTTAATTTTTTTTAACCACTCTTTTCTACTTGCAATAACCTGTTTAAAAACTGAAAATAACACTGAGTTCCCTACTGGATTACACTTTTCCATTTGGAGAACACAGATTTTATTTTTTTCCTCTTGTGCCAAGATTAATGTGGCCTGTTCGACAGAAGATTCAAGGTATCTAGTACCCTGTCAATCTTAAATAACTCCATCTGGGGACAACATCCCCATCTGGCAATGGCAATGATCTGAAAAAAAAAAAAGAAAAAAGAAAAAAAGAAAAGGCTATGCTCCTTACCTGTTACTGCAATTTTCAGATTTCATCACTCTTAAAATAAAAAATCTTTATTTATGGGGCAAATTCAAATTATCATTAGTCAGAGTCAAGGGTTTCAATGAAAACTATTAGGCAAACTACCCACTTTAACAGTCTGTTACAGTCTTCATCCAAAATAGTTCCAGACCTTACAGGTACAAATGTTCCTCCCCTCTTACAGTTTGATAGAAAACATTGCTTTCTCCTCTCTTCTCCATTTTGAGTAGGAAAAGAAATAGCAGATAAATAAAGTACAGAGAAGAAGATGAGAAAAGCCAAGGAAATAAGAAGTGTTCCTTCATCATCCAACTATCATATATGACATGGACATCAGCTGAAGATGAAAATACACTCTTCACCATTCTTTCAGAAACATTACCAAGTTCCAAAACCATCCTCTCCCTCCCTTCCTTTTTCCTTCCCCTTTCTCAGGCAAAAGCCAGTAATACCTACAAATATTTTTTATTTTCGTAAACATCATGCAGCTTTAAAACATGAGGATGTTCTATCAACTTCAGGATGGCTATTTCCCGCTCCACCTGGAAGAAAAAAAAAGAAATAGATTAGAAGCTTGTCCTTAGAATACATGAGTTATTGTTACACAATTTCTTCCTATTTATTCGTTTTCTGCTTCTCTTTATTTGCAGAGGATACAGCAACTTATAACAATGTATCATATTTAACACTCATAATTTCAGAAAGATTCAATTTATTCAGCCTCAGCACTCCCTCTCCTGCAGGACAGAAAACCAGAAAAATTTCAAGGTTGAAAGAAAAGTCCCGAATCTACCAAAGCTGCAAGAGTTATACAAAGATTCAAGGCTGTTCCTGCCTCACAATCCAAAGCCATTGACATATTTTAAAAGCACAGGAATTCTAAGAGGTCACTTAGGGCTCTCCTGAACTGCAACAGGCAAAGGTGTGGCCACGCTCCACTACATATTGCATACATAATTAATCTTAGAAAATCCCCATCCTGAAGAACATGCAGTGTATGCAGGGGAGACAAAGAGCAGAAGACAGACAGCAACATGATTTTATAGCTGCAGAACTGAGGCAGTGAAAGGGAAAGAAATATAAGAAGTGAGATAAGAAGTACAAGGTACAACAGAAATTTAACCCCATTACTGGAAATGCAGTGTTCAGAGCCTTAAACATAAGACTGTGCGTTCTCTCAATTCCCACTCTATCCAAGCATGGATACTTCTAAGATCATGACTTCAACACAGAGTTAACACGTTGTGACTAAGTGCCTGTAATTAGTGCCAGCCCTGTTCTCACCCCAAATTCCTATCATGACTGCTGTGGTGCTTCTAACTTTAATTTACTAAGGTTATTCATCAGATGAAATGAGTGCAATTCCTCAGCTGCTAGCAAAACTGCTCTGCGCTGCGCAAAGCCACACTGTAACCACTCTGATTTGATCTAGACTAACTCAAAGGGAGTTATTGTAGCAGTGTGGAGACTGTAGACAACTGAAATAAACTTTGCTACAAGACACAGTCTAAGCATTGCGCAATATGACGTGACAAAACTCCAGGAATCCACAAAGTCAGGAAAAGGTTCTAAAGATGCAGACAAAGACAACTAGGTAAATTTTTTCCAGTTTTTCAAATAATTGACTTTCCTGGAGCCACCATGCTAACAAACAAAACACGAACAAACTACAAAAACATCTCTTAACATCTCCCCTACAGGAATCAGATAAGTAATCAGGAACTTGCCTGAGTACACCTTTAGTTCTTCATGTCCTTTAATTTCCTGAGATTATTCTCTGCTAAACATGAACACAGGCAACTTTCACTGATTGCCAATAAGATAATCAGCAGGAAGTTAGAAAGTGGTAGTTTTCCAGCACTATGCAGAGAAGGAGGATATCCCAGCATGTTGGTTATCACCCCAGATCTCTCTTCCTCTACACCACCACAAAACACTATTACAACAGCAAAAGTAACTCCTGTATACATCACCACGTCTTCCTTGCCTATCGGCATGGAGGAAAGGATGTGTGTACACCTGTCCGTCTTTCAAAGACACTTACTCCTCTCAGAGTCAAAAGTCATCTGAGAGATCGACTTTGACACTTGTTGGGATCTCTGGAAATAGCTCCTTCAGAGAAGGCAGGTATGCACAAAAACATGTATGTATGCAGCTCAGCACTGCCAGAACTGCTGTGAATGCAGTGACACACAGTACTTGCTGCTGACAGCTCTGAAGGAGTAACTTACTCATGACCAGCACTTAGATAAAAGTTGCTTACACAATGAAATGAAACAGGTAGATTTCATCTCTGTAGCTATTTCACCAAAAACGAGGGGTGGAGCTAGTTTATTCCACTCTAGTCTCCTATTCAGAAAGAACTGTGAGTCTTCTCTTACAGATATGCACTGATATTTGCAGGGGGCTTGTTCAGCCCCACAATTGATAAAGCTGGATTTGATTCAAGAATGAGGAAAAAGAAAAAAGAAGCAGCACCCAGTCCCATAACACTCTTCCAATAGTACTGAGGTTCACCATCAGCACTATGTACCACAGATGCTCAGACACTGGAACTCCAAAAAAGTTCCCTTTGGATAGGGGAGATCATGGGGAATGTGACCATTACACTACCTATGGCAGGGATCATCCAACTCTGTTCTCCCTCCCGAAGGATATCCTGCTGTGAAAGATGAAATTCCCTGCAAGTGTGCTGTCTAACTGCATTGGAGATTAACTTCTGAAAAACCTCTTGATAGGTGGGGTGGCAATGTACATTCAGACCAAGTACGTGATAGATGGCAGCTTCCAGTCAGAGTCCTGCTTGGTTGCTGTCCTAAAGCATAAGAAGAGGCAGAGGTTTATGTCTAGCACTTGAGGAGGGGATTCAGTTATGGCACTGCATGGCCTATGTTCAATAGAAGAAAATCAGACCAGAGAGCAAGTACCTACTTCCTACCTACAGATTTACATTAGGAACCAATTTAAAAATAGAAACAAAACAAAAAAAATCCCACCAAAAATAAATAAACCAAGTTACATTGCTTTCACCATTTCAAGTATGTGAATGTGGAAGATTTTGTCCATAATTTAATCTTCCTGGGAGTTAAATCTTGATGGGAAATACAGGTCTTGATTTCAACCCGAGGTATGCAGAAAGAATTCAGCCTGGCAGTATTTCACTACAAAGCATTTAGTTCAGTGGTGTGTTGCACCACTCTAGCCAAGGAGGCACTCAGCTTTCCAAAGACTGCTGCCTCTTCTAACTGTAACCCAAGGACAAAACTAATTTATTCATCTCAGTAAGACTTTCTATAATCCTTCAGTGAAAAGGTTTTATGAAGGAAAAGTGTCATTAATGTACTTCTCATAATCCAGGCCTTGGCCCCATACAGAGGAGCAAGATGTTAATGGCTGTATTACTTCAAGAAGCAGAGATTGCCAGCAATCAAATAACAGCAATCTGATAAAGACCTTTCTCAAAAATCTTACAGCAGGGTCCTGCCTCTTTTCCATTCCAAAGAAAAACAACGTTTCACAAAAACATGCAAGGGACCATCTTCTCAAGACTACTATCACAGTCATTACTGATGGGTGATTCTCCCAGATACTATTCATTGTTTATAATCCCAAAGAGAAGCCAATAATTAATATGGGTTGGACACAGACTTTAGTTCTCAATAGTGATTTTACTGATGTGTGGCTCAGGAGGACCTAGCAGGCATTGGGTCATTATCAAAGGAAAGTATTTTAACTTACTGGCAAAATAAAGGAAGCCTGAAATAGCAGGCAGCTTTGCCTTCTTCTCCAGAGCTTTGCCAGCCCTTGGTGTGCCTTTTTTTTTTTTTTTCATCCCTGTGCTTGCAAGCCACGAAGTGCTGTCCAGCTCAGAGCTGGCAAGGACAGAGGAATGAAGAAACCCTGCAGGGGTGTTTGCTTTAATGCAGATACAATTATCAGAAAGCAGGCCAAGCTCAGAATAGCCTGTCTAGGGAGGCTGAGAGTCTGGGGTAAACAGGAAACATGGAAAAACATTTGCATGATAGTTAAAAGAGAAAGGAAAATAGTGAAGCTTTCCCTGTCCCCCAAATGCCAGGTCATATCAAGGTCCCAATTACAGCCTCGGCTGCCAGCACTCTGGAATCTTGAAGCTGGGGGAAAGAGCTGTGAAAGGCTCTGCAAGGCAAATGGAAGCACATTGCTAACTTGTAACCTTGCAGGTGCCAATTAGAGGTTTTAAAAATCTATGCAGGAGGCTGATTTGACAGGATGCTGCAGTGATTCAGTTGATGACAAACTGCAAGATGGAGGCAACGTGACCCTTAGAGGAATAATTCCAAACCCGGGTTCCCCCTCCTCCATCTCTACTTTACTCTTCTTCTGTCCCAGAAGAAATCTTATCTCTTTGGTTTAAGCCCATTCATGAACACAGTTTTCACTGGTAACAAGTGCTCTCCTCTCTTGCCTTCCAACTCACAGACCCACAGGGTGCTAATTCACCTAGAAGACAAGGAGGGTAGGCTGAGGAAGCCTGGGTTTGCCTCACTGATGATGAAAACATAATTTTGTCTTGTATTTATTTACTCAATAACAATTGGGTCACCTACCACCTACCCATGTGTTGCTGTGAGAACCTGAAAAATGGACAGCTGAATCATATTACTAGGCTTTTTTTTATGTACCAAATCTGTGTAATCACTATGCAATAGTCATTAATAGTAATGTTTCTCAAAGAAACCTACACCCAAAAACCTGAGGGACAGCAGATGACATTTCTCCTTGGATGCTTTGAAGTCCACCAGCACCCCACCACAGATTTCTCTTTTCTTCATTGACATCAGTGGCTCACATATTGCTCAACACGCTGGCTTGAGAAGGAAGCCAGGAGCTGCCACGCGTAGAGAGGCAGGAAAGTGCTGCATGCTACAAATGTGATGGGCTGTTTTTCCTAGTCACAGCAAAATGAGGAGGCTCTTAGGGGTGTGTGTGGTAGATTTTAATGTGAAAATCAAGATCTTTAATGGTGACTCTGCTCTTACTTTGAATGAAATAATTTTCAGAACTCAATGTCTGTCCCTCAGTTATTAGAAACCTGGACATGAACTTTCTCTGAGTTCAGAATTATGTAGACTTGGGATGAACTTGGAAGGATGCAGAGATCGCGAAATTCATCTAACTCCTCAGCCTAGAATTCAGGCTGGAAACCTTGTATCAAAGTACTTCCTTTATCCAGTGTCTGGCCTGCAGTGCAGTAGCTGGCATTTCCATGAAGAGAGCAGAGAAAGAAGAAAGTAAATGACTGATACTTCAGTGAGTTAAAGTGGCAAAACCAAAGGTATCAGGTAGAAACAAATTACTCTCAAGTTCTCTCCGAAGTCTGTGTTTCTGCTGTTAAGCATGTATCATAGGAACAGACCCTGGGATTTAGTAATTTGGTACTTTTGCTTCCATGTTATGAGGGACAGAAAGTTAAAAATTATGACAAATTATTGACTTTGGTGAAGACCACCTAGGTCACCTGGTTTTCTCTTTCTCATATTCGCAGAATAAACAGACTACTCTT